TTTCGAAGTTGCTGGTTTGCTTGGAGCTTAACGTATTGTTTGGATTGGAGGTGTCGGACGGAGAGGGAGGGGAAGGGATGGGGACGGATGGCAAGGGAGGGAGAGCGAGGGGGGCTGTCTCTTTCCTCTTGTTTGGGTTTTCAAAGAGACAGAGGGGGAAGGAGATGGACTGATTCGGATTCCCTCCAACCACCCTCAAATCTACAGATTTGCAATCCGCCCGATTTGAGGGGTTTGGAAGGAATTTGAGTGGCTGTTTAGATTAAATTAAATGTAATTACAAAATTAATCTTAATTTTTTTATTATATTTTTCTCCATTACAAGTTTAAAGGATAAATTTGTAAATTTAAAATTAATTTAAATCTTTCTCTTTCTTCCCTTCCTTTTATTTTAATTATCCAAACATAAAATAATACAATCTTTCTCTTTCCTTCCCTTCCCTTCTCCTTCTTCATTTTTATTTATCCAAACAAAATTAACACAAATCATTTCTTTTTATTTTCTTCTCTTCCCTTTCTTTTCCTCCCCCTCCATGTCCTTTTATTTTCCTCCATTCCCTTCCCTTCCCTTCCCTTTACTATTTTCTATCCAAACAAAGGCTAAAGGAGATGCAGAAGAAAGAAGAAAGGAAGGTTGGAGGGTGAGGATGAGGGCATTTAAGTAATTTTCTTCTTTTAATGTATTAACTGATTAAAAAAATAGGAGTTTTCCTTGTTGGATTTATATGTCATTAACATTTAAAAAGTTAAGCAAATCTAAGTGATTTGCTGGCAAATTAACATGACATATGTGATTTAACTGACAGAAGAACTATTTTGGTATTAAAAATGAAAGTTTAAAGATAATTTTGATACTTTTTAAAGATAAAAGACAATTTTAATACCAAAATGTAAAGTTGAGGGACTAAAATGGTACTTAAACCTTTACATAAACACTAGCTTGGCACCTATATAAACCTATTCAACTATGCTTTTGTATCCAATTCGACATTTTTCCCTTTTTTTCTTTTCAAAATTTTGAATTAGTTTGCCATGGAGATTAATTCTTGATTAAGAGAAGGAATCACCAAAATAGTAAAAAGAAAT